TGCTCTTAATGAGACTGTTATTAAGCCTTTCCTTTCAAGGCTGATAGACTCACAGCCACCTATGGCATGTAGGCTGATAATGCTGAACCTCAGTTAACTCCACTTCCTTTAACCATAATGGTGAACAATGGGGGGTGTACAAATGCCTTGTGTGGGTGATTTCAGGTATGGAAAATGGCAAGCTGCAGTGGAAGAGCTTCTGCCTCCAGGCTGACATGGTAGGGAGGCCATTGGGTGTGTGAAAGTCAGAATGTAATATTTAGAGAGCCAACCTTCCTGCTGCTAGGATCTAATTAATGGCATATTTGTCTTGTTTTCTTTTATTTCTGTGAAATTTTATGATGTCTTGCAGCCCAGTATTGCAGCAAAACATGTAGTAGACCGTGTCCATTTCACGCTTTGTCTCACCAAAACGTGAAGTGGTACCAGCAGAGGGAGATGTTTTATTTCAAGCCACCACGAAAATAATTACAGGAAAGTGTTTAAAAACACATTATTCACACATTGACATATAAATGCATATTAGCTGCTAGCTTAATCATTTCTGGCAATTACAGACCCATAACTTTCTTGCTAACTAGTGACTTCTTGGCTTTAAGTATATTATCTCCTCCCACGGGAGATAATTTCACATGTGGATTACACAGTATTTACACAGTGGACTGGTGTGTCTATTACATGCTTTGCCATGATATCAGGTTGTGTCTTGATATCAGTTATTAAGTTAGGGCCTTTAGCACTCACAATAGTATGACAGCAACAAATCATAATGAAGGATTTCGAACAGGATAGGCCATAAACACTGATGATGAAAAGAAGAAGTGATGCTTATTAGATGCTAAATAATTGGAAGGGGATCGGATTAAATAACCTTGTGCTTCTTGCTACTCCTGGACATGTTAGTGTAAGTTATTCCATCCATCCATTCTCTTCCACTTATCCTTCTCACAGTCAAAGGAAGGGCTGAAACCTATCCCAGGTATATTAGGGAAAGAAGCAGAGTAAGGGTACACACAGAGAGCACATGATAAGTTATTCACTATGATTATTCTTTTTCTTTTCTTTTCTTTCCTTTTAATTGTTTGCGTTTTTCTTTCTTGCATCTTAACATGTTCAAAAAATGAACAAAATAAGACATTATCTGTCCATTCCTTTTACTGTAAGCACATACTTCTGTGTTAGTTCACATTGTCATCATTGCTATTCTACTGATATAATTTTATCCCCAAAAGTAAGAAGTATAAGAAATATCTTATCTACAGCAATAGAAATGCGTGTTTTTAGTTAAAGTGTGCTTAATTAAAAATATTACTGTCCAGTTTGCCAATGTTAGCTTTTCATATCACCGAATATCTGTGTGCATGCTGCTGCCTCAGCTCATGTTACTTAAAAATTAACCCACAGCTTTAAAACCCTTACACAACATATTCTCAGTGAAATTTACTGTTATTGGTTTGAAATAGAAAAGTGAATTATTGCATGAAACCTGATGCAGCTGTTAGGGGTGGGGGCATGCTTTCAATGCATATGAACTTTTAGAACATATGAACTGAATATTTGTTACCCCTGCATAGGGCTGCTCGATTATGGAAAAAATGATAATCACGATTATTTTCACTGAAATTGAGATTTTGATTATTTGATGATATTTATTTAACAATAACAATGTATTGAATAATGGCTTTAAAGATTGTCATAAAATAGTGTGCAAATACTGATAACAGTGCAAATGTTTGCAATATAAAAAATAAATGAAATTGAGCAGTGGTCTTTGGCGAGGAAAAACATTACCGCGTTTGTTATCTCCTTGTGTCTCTGGGAGCTGGTGGGATATTTAGTCGCATTGGACAGGGTAGCGTGCGTGAATGGAGGTCTGTGAGGAAGAAGCAGGTGTTGTCGAGAGTTTTTCTCTATGCTCCTTCATTGTTTGATTGTATGTCACTTTGTGAGCGGTCTTCAAATGATTGAATAAATTTGTAGTGTTGCTCTGTGGTGCAGCTACAACACCGTAGCAAAGTTTACACATTATGTCTACTTGATCCCCGTCTGACTCTGCGAACCCATAATGTTTCCACACCACTGAAGCTCTTTTACCTCTCTTTTCAACCAACGGCATTCTTTCTTCAGCAGCCATTATTCTCTTCTCCCCAAATAACTTCTGCTTAGCTTTCCGAGCTTCCCTCGGGTCCTCTTAATTTTTGTGAGGCGTGTTCGAAACGCAGAGAGGTGCGCTCGATTTGCCACATGGAGCAACGCGAGAGTAAAGCACGAGGGAGGTGCTAATAATCGGCTCAGTCATTTATAATGATCGTTGAAAGCCCAGGTCGTAATTTAGATGAAAATTCGATTAATTGAGCAGCCCTACCCCTGCATTTATTCTTATGTTTTTTCAGTATGAAGTTCAGCTCTCCCTGCTGTATGTTAAGCAGCCTAAGAAAAACAACATTTATTCAGTACTGTCAAAAAGCTGCAGGGGACTGAAGAGTGCTGTCTAATAAACAGCAAGCATTCCTTCTGTATGTAGACTGTATGAACAGGTTTGTGCACTCTTGTTCTCACTCTCAGCTTCTTCTTGTCAGAGGTGGCAAGACGAACAGCATGTATTAACATAAAATCCAACTTACAAAATGTTCTAAGTATAATACAATTTTCATTGTCCCCAGAATGATTACACAAATCATTCATAGCACTATTTCTTGCTTTACCTTTGTTCCAAAGGAACGATGGCTTCAGTGAACGCAAATATATATTGTTCAGTTTGCATGTTAAAAGCCACAAACATGTAGCTAACTATAGGCTTTCTTGTGGAACTGAGAACTGTCCTGCCACTTTCAGAACATTTTCTGCCTTCATTCACATATGCCTAGGAATCAAAGAACAAGAAGGGAGACCACTAAGGAGGAGTTTTATAAGTTCACCGGTGACCTCGGCTGTCAAGTTCCTGGATGTGGGTATGCTGCACAAAACTTCACAACTCTTTGTGCCCCTCTCAGATTTCATATCAAAGATGGGGGGGAAAGTATTATGTCCATTTGAAGGCTGCTCTAAATACTTAAGTGTCCGAACATAGTAGACAGTTCAGCAGTCAAGGCAACAAGAAATGGGGGGATTTGCCATAATACAAGGACAGGACACAGTTAATCTATTAGAAGACAGTTGACTTTGTGTCATTTAAAAATGCAGGCTAAAATGCTCTTGCCAACCAGCACTATACAGGGAGTGCAGAATTATTAGGCAAATGAGTATTTTGTCCACATCATCCTCTTCATGCATGTTGTCTTACTCCAAGCTGTAAAGGCTCGAAAGCCTGGGGTGTCAGTGCACCCCAGGGTGGCTGTGGCTACAATGTAGCTTGCCATCACCAGTGTGTGAATGTGTGTGTGAATGGGTGGATGACTGGATATGTAAAGCGCTTTGGGGTCCTTAGGGACTAGTAAAGCACTATATAAATACAGGCCATTTACCATTTACCAATTAAGCACATTAGGTGATGTGCATCTCTGTAATGAGAAGGGGTGTGGTCTAATGACATCAACACCCTATATCAGGTGTGCATAATTATTAGGCAACGTCCTTTCCTTTGGCAAAATGGGTCAAAAGAAGGACTTGACAGGCTCAGAAAAGTCAAAAATAGTGAGATATCTTGCAGAGGGATGCAGCAGTCTCAAAATTGCAAAGCTTCTGAAGCGTAATCATCGAACAATCAAGCGTTTCATTCAAAATAGTCAACAGGGTTGCAAGAAGCGTGTGGAAAAACCAAGGCGCCAAATAACTGCCCATGAACTAAGAAAAGTCAAGCGTGCAGCTGCCAAGATGCCACTTGCCACCAGTTTGGCCATATTTCAGAGCTGCAACATCACTGGAGTTCCCAAAAGCACAAGGTGTGCAATACTCAGAGACATGGCCAAGGTAAGAAAGGCTGAAAGACGACCACCACGTGGCTGGATTGGTAAAGGGCAGAGAGCTCCAGTCCGACTCAGACGCCAGCAAGGTGGAGGTGGAGTACTGGTTTGGGCTGGTATCATCAAAGATGAGCTTGTGGGGCCTTTTCGGGTTGAGGATGGAGTCAAGCTCAACTCCCAGTCCTACTGCCAGTTTCTGGAAGACACCTTCTTCAAGCAGTGGTACAGGAAGAAGTCTGCATCCTTCAAGAAAAAAATGATTTTCATGCAGGACAATGCTCCATCACATGCGTCCAAGTACTCCACAGCGTGGCTGGCAAGAAAGGGTATAAAAGAAGAAAAACTAATGACATGGCCACCTTGTTCACCTGATCTGAACCCCATTGAGAACCTGTGGTCAATCATCAAATGTCAGATTTACAAGGAGGGAAAACAGTACACCTCTCTGAACAGTGTCTGGGAGGCTGTGGTTGCTGCTGCACGTAATGTTGATGGTGAACAGATCAAAACACTGACAGAATCCATGGATGGCAGGCTTTTGAGTGTCCTTGCAAAGAAAGGTGGCTATATTGTTCGCTGATTTGTTTTTGAATGTCAGAAATGTATATTTGTGAATGTGGAGATGTTATATTGGTTTCACTGGTAAAAATAAATAATTGAAATGGGTATATATTTGTTTTTTGTTAAGTTGCCTAATAATTATGCACAGTAATAGTCACCTACACACACAGATATCCCCCTAAAATAGCTAAAACTAAAAACAAACTAAAAACTACTTCCAAAAACATTCAGCTTTGATATTAATGAGTTTTTTGGGTTCATTGAGAACATGGTTGTTGTTCAATAATAACATTATTCCTCAAAAATACAACTTGCCTAATAATTCTGCACTCCCTGTACAGAGCATCATAGAGGAATTTCAGGATCTTTGCAGCTGTAACAAAAGTAGACACTGAATCTAACACCATCTCTCTTTTTTTTAGATGGCAGACCAAAGAATTTGAATGACACCATTACTCTGGAGCTTGGGAATGATTTCCACTCCAACTGTCGCATGCAATCACAAGAGGAGACAGAGGTCATCCAGAGGAAAGAAGTATGATTAGAATTGTTGTGGAGGCCATGCAAGTTAACTGCAGAAACATTAAACGTGCATCTTGTGAAGAGGTTGCTAAGATCATTGTAGACAGATACCCTCAAACATTTGCAGATTTTACTGAAAAGGGAGAAAGACTGGGTTGTGGACATTATTCACTACTAAGAAGCATCAAATCTAGAGTTGAACATGTTAATCGAGATAATACAACACATAGACTTCGTCAAACAAAGAGAACCAGGAATGAGGAAGACTGCAGTCCCAACAGTAATGCAACCTCACATAAAAAAGTTAGATGCCTTGTGGATAGCTATGGCTGTATAAATTGGCAGCCAGTTGAACTTCCTGAGGGGGAAACGCCAGCTTCTTTAGAGGAAAAGAAACTCATCTTGTTAACAATTTTTAATTCAGAAGGACCTGGAGCTGTGGAGAGACCTGATGTGGATGACTTCATGTGCCTCACATATATTTCTCAGCAGCAGCTTATCAACAGTTGTCCCTCACTTTCAGTAGCTGAAATTCAGGAGCAGTGGTCATTCTTGTTTACTCGGAAAGGTTTTTCGAACCACTTTTACAAACTCACAGGCATCGATATCTGTGAGCGCTTAGGTCAGGCCCTCCTAACCAAAGGCAGAAGGATTGTTAACTATTTCTCCACCCAGAAGCTCAAATGGAACCTTGGTATAAGGACACTCATCCAGCAGGTAGAAAGTGAGGGAGTTTTGGCCAACAACAAGGTTGGCACAGCAGCCATACTTCTCATGATGAAGTATTACAAGGAAGATGAAGACTCCCTCTTTGTCTTAGCAGATGTAAGCTTTTTTCATACAGCTCTATGTTTAATGCTGTTGCTTGCTGTCCTGTTATATTTTTTTATTTGTTACATAAAATGTCTTGGTCCTTTTTCTGGCAGGAAACATCTACCAGGATGTCCCTTGAAGCAGAGAGCAACCTGCCCATCACCCCAAGGCTGATTATGCTTGGTAAGAAGTCATTTATGAAATAGAGCTGATTAGACCATATTAGAATTTCTGTTTGGCACAGGAGCTTTTCGTGGACACAGGTATCCAGTCTTTGTTTTGTTAGCTCAAATTTCTGTAATTTCCTCTATAAACCAAGGTTGTTGGACAAGTGTCTCAGTGAATCCAGCCAAGTAACAATTTCAAATTTCACATTACATATTACTGATCAACGTAGTAGTCTAGCTACACCAACAGCAGAAATACTGAAGTCAATACTGTAAAGTTTAACAGCAGCACAAACTATGAACTCCAAAATAACCATACAGTTGATTCATCTCTGGTAATTTAACTGGGCTGACTGTTTGTTAGGTGTGTTTAATGTGCAGAATAATTCCCAATTATGTACAATTATAATATGTTAAAACGGACTTATGTACATAAGGCCATTAATAATTAACAGTACGTAGCTATTTGCTTTATGACTATTGTGATATTATTCTGTTATCATATGTTACCTTATATATGTAATCAAAGTAGTTGAATTATGATAACAGCTGTAGGACATATATTATCCTTTAGTTTAGATGGTGTGCTGTGTATGTAGTTTAGTCCTCATTATACTTTTCGGTTAAAAGAACATAATCATTTTTGTAGTTCATTAGATAAGTGTGCATCACTCTGTATCCTTGATCTGCTGTGAATGTGTTACACTGTTTTCTTGACATGCTTTACTGTTGAATCATAAAAAGAAAGATTGTTCAGGAGACTCTGTGTCTAAGACAGGGGAGATAGACCACATTCCATACCCCCACCTTACAGAGAGCAGAGAAACAAGGAGCCGAGGTCATAACTTAGGCGCCGTAAGAGAGAAAGAATGTGAATGTTTAGGCTTTTACGACTAGGTGGGGGCCGCTAGGAGCTATAAGAGGCTGTGTAACCCGTCACCATTTTGAGACTCGCTGTGACCCTCTGCAGGCAGGTCTCCCCATCATGATGGTTCTAATGCTCATAAGTGTTGAATTGTATGGAAATAAATGATTGCTGATTGAGCACTTATACACCGAGTATTGTCCTTCCTTCAGCCCAAAGATTAAAAGAATTGGGAGATTTCAACACTATCTAGACAGTGTGAAGAAGTGAAGTATTGAAATTATTTTATGTTGCATAATGACAACATGTTGCCCCTATACATTTAAGGACAAAGTTCAATGACCGCCACCTGCTAGATGGTGAGTGCAGAGGGGCGTGTAATTGTTGAGCTGGACAAAGAGAACATCTTTGCTGATGCAATATCAGTCTTGTTTGGTTCATTCTATGTATTGAACCTGGAATACCAGGAGTCGGCGTGTGCAAGGTTTTTTGTAAGGATAAACCCTGAAGAGGGAACAAAATGTACCTCCTAGTTTGGGACAAGCAGAAAGACTGGGACCACTGTGAAGCGAAAGGTTGTTCACATTAACCCTCATGCCACAACTTTCCTCCAGCAGCTTACTGAATTTGAGTGGAGAACTTCAAATTAGGTAACTGTTTTTGCCATTTTTAGTGAATTTCTTGTATAATTTAGGTGACCAATGTGTTGTTACCCATGTCTCCACAGATGATCCATGGCCCATGTGTTCTGGACATTTACACAAGACGAGCAACAATGAAGACAAGCTCTCTTGCCATCTTGCAAGACGCTGTCTCTGTCCAATAGGTTTTTTGAGTGCAACAGTTTTGATTTTTTTTCCTTCTTTTACCCGTTTGTTAAAAATTACTTCAGCTACTTACACTCTAATTGTCACATGTATTGGCTCACCCTACAAATCAATGAACTCAGTCCACAAAGCAAGATCAGGGTTCAGTGCAGGTCAGTCAAGTTCCTTCACACCACAGACGCTCATCCATGTCCTTGTGGACCTGGCTTTGTGCATTGATTTGGTGGTGTGAGCCAGTATTTTGGACAAAGTGTATATAAAGGCAGAAGTGTGGGGCTTGATATTATATTCATTACAATTCAGTTTATTTGTATGGTGCCAACAAAATGAATGCCAAGGCACTTCACACTGTAGGTTTAAGACCCTACAAAATATAACTAAGAAAACCCAACACTTGAGCATATGTTGTCTGCCATGATATGGATATGACATAATATCGTTATTGTTTGTACAACCATCTGAGAAAATAATGGATGGTTTAGTAAAAACAAGTGCTTCCTCAATGAAAATGTTTTCAGTTCTTTTCAGTTTTTGATTTTGGAAATGTGTATTTCAGCAGGGAAAAATCAGTGATAATAAATAAAGTGGTGTAATGCACATGAATTATATTTTGTGTGTGTGTATCTATCTATCCAATTTTTTTGGAACCCTCCAGTCTCTTACAGTATGTTACTGTTAACTGAAATTACGGTAAAATTACGACCTGTTAAACAGTAAATGACTGCCTGTTGGGACACAGTATCCTCTAGCAGAGATGAATATTTTTGGTACTGATTATGCGTGATAACGGTAAGTTACTGGTTAATATATTGCAGTTTATTACCTTGCAGCGGGCTTACAGTGACATACCGTGAATAAACGGTAGTATACCAATTTTTTAATCACAGTATGATGTTGCTTTGTTGGCGTAATTTACGACATAACGACATAACGGTATCTCACTGGCGTCGCTGTCGCCAGTGAGATACCGTAAAAAAGGCTACGGTGCGTTACCATAATTTGTCCAAGAGTATTATACCACACCAGCAAAAAACGGTATCATCCTGCAGAACAGTAAGCTACCGTAACACGGCGTCACGGTACGACGCTGGCAACAGTGACGCCAGTATGTTACCGTAAAGTGGCGATGAAAAGTCTAACAGTGTGACTTGGTGAGTAAATGTTTACTCTTATTCAAACTGATTTTGTGGCTTCTCTTCGTTTAGCACCAGGTTTATAATCTTGCTAGCTAGTTAGTGTTAGCCTAGCGTTGCTGCTGCCGCTGGGCTCATGTTACTTAAAAATTAACACCACAGCCTTAAAAACCTTACATAAAACTATGTCTGTGAAATTTTCTGTTGATTATTTGAAAAAAAAAAGTGAGATAAGAGCCCAGACAAAATTCTTCGGGAGGTGCAGCCGTTAGGGGTGGGGTGTGGTGTGGTGTGGGGGGTATTTTCAATCCATAGCCATAACTAACTAACTGACTAACTAACTAATTATATATATCATGTTTAACCTGAGTAGCAAAAGACCACGGGGGGGGTTTGAAAACAATATGCCAGGAGTTAGCTGTGCTCACCGACTCTTATCAAGCCTTGACCTCCCGGTCAGCTATCACGCTGGTGGATAACGGAGCTCTCCGAAAACGTGGAAGCACTTTTGCAAATAAGTGATATTTTGATAAATTAAGTAGATATTTGAGCATTACACAGCTACATTCTCGGCTGAAAATATCGTAAAAGGTTATTTTGTGACCAAGAAAGGGTAGTCTGGGGAAAAGGAGGATCGCATTTGTCGGCCACGGTTGTTGGAGCCTGTGCCTACTTGTAAGCGCGGCAATGGCGGAGGAGCGCGGCTAAAAAACGTATTACTTTTTCTGGGTCACAAAATAAACTTTTAAGATATTTTCAGGCGAGAATGCAGCTGTGTAAAGTTCAAGTATCTGCTCGATTTATCAAGACATCACATATTTGCAAAAATGCACCAAAGTTTTCAGAGACGTTTATTTTTTTCATGCTTTGTGGCAGCTTTTGAACATCTATTAATGTCAAATCTAGCCCTTATTTAACAACATAAGCAAACTCTATGCTACAATGATTGCACAGCCATTAAGGATCAAATCGGGTTCTGAAAAATGTTCTGCTTTTTCTCCCTTTGCTTGCTTCTTACTGTCTTTGAGGCTCGGGACCAGCACTCCTGTTGTTGGACAGAAAGACATCAACTCAGTGGTAAGTATTTTGGTTTTCCAATATATTAGCAACTATCAGTGACATTTATATTAATCAGGCTGAACTTTAATCATACATTAGATCAGCCTGTTTTACTTATTGTTTTATTTGTGCTTTGGTTTGGGGAAGTTGTTTCTTTACTGATCTTTTCCTGTCTTCTGTTATTAGACTTGAGATATGACTGCACTATGCTGTTGCTGGTGACTCCAGTTAATTCTACAAGACATGCTGTGTAAGTAAACAAACAACAACAGTTCGGTCTGCATTTCTTGAAAGATCACATCCCCCAAACTTAGTTTAGAGGGTCTACACTGTATATAGTGAAGTCTGCAAGTTTTCTAACAACAAAATTTGTTTTGTGCCCAAATCATTTTGCACATCATTAGAATGAAAGTTATTGGCCATGTTTGCATAGCCCTTTTTAAAATGATGCTTTCATGACATTATTGTATGTTGGGTGGTGGTCACAGCTATCCAGACTGACAATTGGGACATTGAATGTCACCTCTCCGGTGGGGAGGGCGCCTGATATTGTGTAAATTGGAGTCTGTTTTATACCAAATGCAGAAAAAATGTTTTAAGAAAGCAATTAAGTTCATGTTCCAAAAAATATGATTGTTTGCTTGCAGGACAACAGAAGAGATGAGTCCTCCGTCACAGATGGTGTGGTCAGTGATCGCCTGCAGGTTCAAGGTCATTGCATCTCCAACCCACATCCACTGCCACTGTACTGAAGGGAAGTTAAAGACTTTCTTCTGCACCTACATTTGGATCACCTCGATCCATGATAGTCATTCAGGCAGTAATGCCTGGACTGGAAACAAGCCATCCTTAAAATAATACAACATTCCAGCTCCTGTGTTGGAATGAAAAACGAATGTGTTGTTTAAATTAGAGACTGCAATTGTGACAGAACAACAAATATTTTATTTTGATTATATAAGTAATGTAAGTACAAAACAAAATTGTGGTAGGCCTAAACCTATTTTCAGAATAATTACATCTGAGACTTTGTTTCATTGTAAGATTATAACAGTGATGGCAATATAATTGTTTGTTGTTCAGCAGAACAGTGTCCAGTATGTTGGCTGTTATACTTTGTTGTATTTGAAAATAAAAGTTGGGCTGATTTTAACA